GGGGGCCACCTCAGCATCCCCGGTGCTGGGGAGAAGGAGAAGGGATGCTGAGGGAGAGGTGGCGTGGGCCAGCCCAAGGGCCGGTGCCCAGCCTCCTCTCGCCACGGCCCCAGCCCCCTCACAAGGGGGAATGGCGGGTGATGGTTGAGCTCGTCCTCCCCACGTGCCTTTTTGGTCACCCCTTGCCTCTACACCCCGCTAAGGGTGATGGAGGTTGCCTGGCTAGGTGCTGCAGCCGCTCCCCACCATCGGGGTGGCTTGCCCCAGGGGTTGACCTTGGCCGCCCTCGCTGGGGGCTGCCGGTGGAGGTGCCGTGCAGAGGGTCCGTGCCACTGCCTGGGCTGGGGACAGGAGGCTTCAAATCCAGACCCCCCTGCAAGGGCCCTCCAAGGGTGCTGCCACAGGGTTCCTGTGAGCTGGTTTCAGCCTGTGGCCGCCTGCATCTTGCTGTCCCGGCGGGTTTGCTCCCTCAGCCTGCATGGTTGAGAGCTCGTTGTGTGCACAGTGGGTTTTCATCAGAGCAACGAGCGCTGGCCCCCAGTGCTGGCTGTGCCTCTGATCTCAGGACCCACTGCCCCCCTCGTGGGCCGCGGTGCTGGGTCTCGGTACAGGCGTGCCCAGCCCTCACGTTTCTCTCGTGGCCGCGTGCTGATGTCTAGGAAACCGTGGCAGCCTCGGGAGCCCTCTGCTTCCCGCTGAAGCCTGCTCTCCCCTGTGTCCTGACCGGCAGCGCCCATGGGCTCAGTAGGCTTGGCTGAGCAAGGACCACAGGGTGCTTGTGGCTCCAAAGAGCTCTGTTTGGTCTGGCAAACTGGCATGAGAAGGTGGCAAATGAGCTCTGCACAGCAGTCATGGTGCTGCTGGTGCCCGAGCTAGCAGGGTTTAAAGCCCTGGTGGTTGATGGTGGGGGGGAGCAGCACTTACATCCAGGGCCAGGAGCCCTGGTGTGTCCAGTCCCTTCAAGTTCCTTGGCTGGGACCCCCTTTTAGGGGGCCAGGAGTCTCTCCGGTGCTTGGAGAGCTGGCTTGAGACGCCTTCTCCTAGCTGCATTGTGAGCAGAGCTCTGCTGCGGAGAGAAAGGGGAGAGATTCGCCCCAGCTGGGGACTGTGGGGGAGGTTTGGAGAGGTGGAGCGAGCTGGAGTATGTGCCGAAGTCGGGCGCCTGTAAGGCCGTGTTTGCTGAGTCTGGTTCCCTGCTGCACACCCTGCTGCTCCAGGAGCCTTCGGGGCGTCACAGCCCCTGCTCCAGTGCAGGGCTCTGGCACAACATGTACCGGTGCATGCCGGCACACAGGCATGGAGCCTCCCAGATCATCACCCTCGTCCCCCTGGCCACGCACAGCCACAGGAGCAGCAGTGGTGCTGTGCACCCTGCTCAGTCCTCTCCCTGGCAGGGGTCTGCCCCAGCTGCTGGAGCATCCCGGGGCTTGCTGGGGCTGCGCAGGCAGCTCGTGGAAAGCCATAGAGTGAACTCAAGGCTAAAGGTGTGAGGATGAGCAGGCTGGATATGTGAGGTCGGCCTCGCAGCAGGGGCTGGGGAACTCAGGCTGCCCTGGTGGTCCTGCAGCTGGGCTCATGGACACCCGTCCTCAGCCCTAATGCCAGGGTAACACCAGATGCCATGGGAGCAGGGCAGGGTTGCGGGAGAATTTGTCACTTAGGGGGCTAACAGATCTCAACACACTCGTGTTGGCATGCCTGGGGGGATCTCAGTGTCCCCCTGTGATACTCTGCTCTTAGATGGGGTTTCATCAGCACCCCCATGAGAAATTCTTGCAGCTTCCCTGAGGGTGCAGGACTGGCCCATGTGGGAGCAGCGCCTGGTTTGTGGCAGTTGC